GATGTTCAATAAATATTTACTGAGTGAACGACATTCAAAATTCAAGTTTATTGAAAGGATCTAGATTCTTAACTGAAAGATGGCATTAATTCCCATAATGATTGTTGGTTTTAATTCTTTGCATTTTTAAAGGCTATTCCCTTGCCAAAAGTTTTTTTAAGTCAACTATTTGCCAAGGTCTAAAAAATGAATAAATTATTCAAATAAGATAGCAAAATAACTACAAGAAGATCATTAGCTCTATCAAGCTACAATGGTTTCATTTCATAAAACAATTACACTGGGAGTATCTTTGTAACTAAGCAAAATTCTTCTCTCTCTATCACTCTTCTCAGGCTGCTAATCTACAATCAAAAACCACAAAATCTGATTCTCAACTACTAGATACCCAAAATGGCTGTAACATCATTAGTCCGCAAAATGAAATCCAATACTGCCCATCAACAGATAAATGAATTTTTTAATATAGTCTATACATGTAATGGAATATTATTCAGCCATGAAAATGGAATGAAGTTATTTAAAGGGGTGATGAAGTTCTGATCTTACTGGAGCTTAAAATAAGAATTACAGACTATCTGTGAATGCCAACCAAGATGCTGCATACAACAAAGATGAATACTGAAGACACTGTGCTAAGTGAAATAAGCCAGACACAGAAGGGCAATTACAATATAATCACAGTATGTAAGATATTTAGACTAGACAAATTCATAAAGACAAAGTGAATTAGAGGTTAACGAGGCTCGAAGAAGGGGAAATGGGTTGCTATTGCTTAATGGTTACAGAATAGCTGTCTGGGGTAATGAAAAATGCTTTAGAAATACATAAGTGGTGATGGTTACACAATATTGTAAATATTATTAATGCCACTGAATTGTACCTTTACAATGGTTAAAATGGAAAATTGTTATATGTATTTGACCACAACTAAAAAAAATGCAATATACCAAAAACCATTGAATTATATACACTTCAAATATGTAAAATAAATGTTACATGAATTAAGTCCAATAAAGCTGTTAAAAAATGAAATGCAAAAGCTGTAACAGCCACAAATGTTAAATAGCCATAAACTTTCTTTCCTTTCTATTATTACAAGAATATTTTTACACTCAGTATGTTTACATGGACATTTTGCTCAACAAAAAGTCTCTGGACAGTCTGTCTGCTAGACTCCAACTTGTATAAAGATGATGTGTTCTTATGCCTGTCATTCACCCTTTAGGTTTAAGAGAACTGTGCATATGAGCATGAATTTTCTTTGGGTCCTGGACCATGAAGAAATAACAGAATTTTAGAGCTAGAATGACTCTCAGATCATCAGGATCCAAAATTAAGGAGTATTTTTATGACTTTCATTAAAGAGATTATGTATAAAACATTCTCTTCATACACTCTAAAACAAGGAAAGCAGTAATGTTGCAGGTGCCAGTGGTACCTCAAAAAGACTGTGTACAAACCCCTCCAGAGGCTTCAATTTCTTGTCACAGAAACACGTCATAACATTCAGCAAACAGTGTACTATGGCAGAATAACAGATTTTCATCCTACACTTATCTTACTCCTTTGAGAGGCCAGCAGCCTAAGATCCCCAATTTCATACACTCTGCTTTCAGGTAATTAGCAAGTTCTCCAATTGCATTTTCCCTGAACCTGGGGAACAACCAAAGCCAATGAGCAAGAAAGGTAAGCATCTAGGTACGCTTCTGATGGCCTAGAGGACTTGCTGCTGATCTCTTGAGACAACTATTCTGAGTTCTTTTGAGAACTGTAACTGTCCATGCTCCCCTAGCAAATTAGTAACCTGCCTATTACAGGGATAACGGGATTTCTAAATGCACCTACATCCCTGCCTATACAAAGTCGTCTTCCAATTAAAATGCAATCAGGTTTTATAAGATGAAAAGAGTTTTAGAGACAGATGGTATGATATTGTGACACAAGAAATATATTTTTTGGTTAGTCAGATGTCCAAAATATATTACTCATACACACGTGGAATTCATCCACAGTCCCTGGCTCATAGTTCCCCATGAATCTCCTAGGTGTGGTGATACTCTGCTCGTTTCCAAGAACCGCTGTCAGTGTGGGGAGGCCTACACAAACACCCAATTGGTAAAATAGGTCTCAGAACACACCAAGAGTCACAGATGACTATAATGGTGGCATAAGAATGTGAACGTACCTCACGTCACAAAACTATACAATTAAAAATGGTAAACAAGATAGATCTTATGTTAAATGCATTTTATCATAATTTTTAAAAAGTACTCAGTTCTCTATTTTAGCAGGCAAATTATCCAGTTTGCAGAATATATTCATGCCTTTTGTTTCTTTTTATCTTTATTCCATTAGTTGCCTTATTTAGGGCCAATTGAGAAGCAGGGAAACCTGAGCAAACAGTAAGCGAAAGAAAAAAGAAGTTATATTTCTTTATTTATGGCATTCTCTACTTCAAAAAACAATTTGAAGTAAAAAAAGAGCAATTAAACTATTAAGTTTAATTGCAGTTAAAGTATTAAGCAATTAAACTATTAAATCTCAAACTATAAAAATTTCACAAAAATTCTAAACTATTGGTTCTCTTTAATTGTTATGGGGATTTTCTTCATTTCTAACTTAAGGCAATAAATTTTTGTGATGGGGATGATCCTACTGGAGAAAATATCAGAATACATGCATCTAATGCATGAATGGGCAATTCAGAACTGGCTATGAACACTTTAGAGGAAAGAAAAAACCACAAGGAACATATGAAACAATTATTAAAACTGCTAAACACATTTCGACTAAAGTTTTAAAACTACTGCCTCACGTATTAGGCATGAATCATGCAAAACAAGTTTTGAATTTTAATAGCAGAACTTATACCTTCCATGTTTCCATTAACTCTAAGCCTTTGAGCAATTACCAAAATTGTCATATTGATATTCAGAGGCTTAGAAGTGAAAATGAAAACTAGAAATATTAGCCTTATAACTTTTATTACAGGTGGATTAAATCCAAATCTCTCATAAGAAAATAATAATGTACAAGGAAGAATACAAGTTGTAAGTACAAAAAACTGGCCATCCAGAATAGGCTCTTCTGTGTATTTTGGTTCATGGTTCTCAAACTCAACCGGTCATCAAAATCCCTTAGGAAGGGGAAAGAGAGCAAGAGAGCAGGTCCACATATTTAAATAGATTTCTGAGCTCAACACCCACAGATCAAATTGAACGAACAGCAGAAAAGGCCTGGGAATCTGTGCACTGAAACAGCCCCATGATCAACCACATTCTGATGATGAACCACATTTTAGAACATCTATATATTAATAAACTTCTTTTTGCAACAGGAGACCATTTTGCCTCTATTCTCATTTTCTATTTCAACTTACTAATAAGCAACAAATAGCCTCCTGCAAGCCTAATACTGTGTTAAATCATTTCCTTTAATCATCAGAAAAACAAACTATTAATGGGGGAACTAAAGAGGATTAAGAAACAGGGCAGCTTGTGAATAATAAATGCTCCGGTTCTGGAGCCAGAAGTCATATATTTGAATCCAAGCTCTACTTTTTCCTAGTTGTGTGACCTTAGGGAAAGTACTTTCCCCTGCAATAATAGTTTCTTCATCTGTAAAATGGAGATAGCAATAAAACCATTCACAAAATGTTGTGATTAAATGAATTAGTGTATTTTAAATACGTACAATGGTGTTTGCCACATAGTAAGCAATCAAGTGTTGGATTGATAAAATGTTACCCAACTTTGTAAGTGAAGCATCATATCCTAAAAACAGAGCTTAACTACAAAGTAACAACACAAAAAGAGACTAGAAGATGCTGGCATTTTCTCCCCTCTGAGAAATCTACATAAACCCCTCCAATTTTGGAAGTAAACATTTTAAGTAGTTTCAATTTTCCAACCAAAATCATGTGGCTTCCAAAATGCTTCCTTTGTGCATATACTTAAGATTGTTGTAAAGTAATATCTACTATTCATTTGTATATATCACTTACCTTTTATCTAAAAGTATCTCTCTGATTTTTAAAGTAATTTTGTTAGAGCAATATCATAATTTTATCATCATTTTTTAGATAACTTTTCTTTGCTGCAAATATCCTATATAATCTGACTTCTAATTCAAAAGCTAACTGAGCAGTTTACAAAGGGAAAAACAAAACAAGGAACTGGATCAAAAAAATACTGTAATACGTCAAAAGGAAACAGCATTAATCCTAAATGAGTCGTTTACTAAGAATAACAAAGAGGAAATGGTGAGGGAATCATTCTCATCAAAAGAATATACTTTAATAATGCTCTAAGCAATTCATGTGCCAGATGAGAATATAGTCAGCTACAGATAGAGTCCAAAACAAAGATGGTACCTCACTAAAAAACTTAGAGCTGGGAGTTATCCTAAATTTCCAATATGCAACAGGAAATGTTGCCAGTGATTCAATAGGTGACACCCCTTTCCTTTTTTTTTCTTTCTTCTGAGTAGTCAACAACCCAAAACAAAATGGTCTAGAAGCTCTGTTACTAGTTAAAAAGTTAAACATAAAAATCCCACTGCAATATTTCAAAAAAACATCTAAGACACAATCTAAGCAGACACTAAATAGGAATGGTTTCTGTCAATATGTGTAAAGTGCCTCCTGGAATACACTAACTGTATAGCCTAATGAGCATTTCTATAGCACACTTATCATATCCCCAACATTCTAATGACCTTACGTTTCAATAAATTTCAATACATTAGGAAAAGTACATGGAACTCAAATCTACAAAATAAAATGAAACCCACAAAAATAAAATGAAAAACTAATTTTGGATAAGTTGAATAGATGTCCAAGTAAAGAGGTGGTACTATATTTATTCTAATACATTATTTCAGAGATAAGATGTAACATCTTATTCCTAATAAGCATTCTGAAACTAGATGAATGAATCAATGTCTGTCTCTCTCTCACTCCATCACATTCAGTGTTGACAGGGTGTTTCCAGACACACCTCTCTGGCAATGTTACTCAAAGCTTCATCTTCTGCAGAAAATCGATCTTTCACAGGTGTCCTTTTCCTTCCAGAACCAGGAGTCCCCATGTTGTCTTCCTGGCAATCCCTTAACTGTGAAAAGTTATTACACTGTTTTCAGTCCTGAAATAAACAGAAAGAGAATACCTTAGGATGTTTCTCACTGTATACTTACGCTTATTTATATGTTCACTTTTAACAAAGAAAATTATATTTATGTATTTATATATAAATTCATCAAGTAATTTTTCTATCAAATTATCCCAATAAATTTTAGAATATTTGCCATAAAGTTACAAAGGTAACTTGGCTTTTAGTGCAATTTAAAAAACAATTCCAATTAAACCATTACCACATAAAAGAACAAATGAAGGCTTATTATTCTGAAATGAACATTAATCAACATTGCCAAACAGCAAGTATCTGAGTGCCTGCTATCGGGTGGTGCCAAAGATACAGTGACAAAGGCTAACAACTTAGAACATATTTATGAGTCTATTATTGTTTTTATTCTTATGAGATAAGCCTATTATTACAAAAAAGAGGAATTCATCTTCCAAAATTAGATAACAAGGATGACAGACCACGTACCCTTCTAGCAAAGTCTCATGAAAGCATGCATCCCAGTTTATGTGAATTCCCTCTCCTTATACACACTCCTAAGATGTACTATGCATTTACTAAATACCCATTGACTTGAAATTTTTCCCTAACTTTAACAAAACTAACTAGCAAAAGTTCATTATACTATGAGTCACAAAGGAATTCTCAAGTAAATCTATCCAAATAGAATCAACTACATTAAGACTACACATGACTTTAAGGTATTGGAATTTACTTGACTCAAGCAAAATGAAATGGCCACTTCATCAATCCACTCTTGTCAAAAAGTTTTCTCCAGTGAAAATTCAGAACATTCCCATTATCTGACACCATTTCTTATGCCTGCAGATTTAGCCTCTTACATTTCTCAAATTAAAGAGGATAGTTTATTACTGTGCCATAGAAAATACATCTGGATATGATAAGAAAATGACTAATTTAAATGGCAACAAACAAAAGATGTATGTGTGAAAGCCGCAGATGATAAATCCCAGTCACAAATCAACAATTTCTGAAAAGCACTGTTTTCTCAGAAATCTGCCATCATCATCATCTTCAGCATAATTTTGAAGATCACTCACTTAATAGTAATGGTGTACAAATACTAATCACCTACTGAAAAGAAAAGCAATACAAAATTCTTTTAAGACTGGAGTGACGGGCCTCCCCGGTGGCGCAGCGGTTGAGCGCTCGGTTGCGAAGCTGCCCGCGGCCTCTGAGGCGCCGGTTCGATCCCCGGCTGCTCCCCGGCCACCAGAGAAGGGTCCCGCATGGCGCACAGACCTCTCCTGCCGCCCACTGCTCCCCTCAGCAGTATACTTCGGTCCTTCTGCCTGCTCTGCTCCCCACTCTGGCTCTGGTGAATTCTCTCACCCTCCCGCGCTTCTGACTGTACCCAGTGCATGTATAAACAAAACAAACAAACAAATAAATAAAAACATGCCTCTATAAAAAAAAAAAAATTTAAAAAAAAAAAAAAGACTGGAGTGACAATTTAGCTAATGTACTGTGGTACCATCTGATATTTGTCCTTCAGCCAGATTTCCAAGGACACAATGAAAAACATTTCCCAGAAACAGAAGATAAAAACAGGCATTTTCTAATTCCAGACACATAAAAATAATTTTAAAATGAAAAAAAAAATTGTCTTCAGAAGTATATAAAAGTTTAACAGTGATTTTTTTTTAGGAAGATAGGATTATGGATGCATATTTTTCTTCTTGAGTTTCTGAAATTTTAACAGCATTGGGAAGAGAAATGCACTTTTTAAAAAATGAAACATTCAGACCCAAGGCTTAAGAATACACTGGCTCAGGGCCTCCCGGTGGCGCAGTGGTTGAGCGCTGGGCTGCGAAGCTGCTCGCAGCCTCCATGGCGCAGGTTCGATCCCCGGCTGCTCCCCGGCCACCAGAGGAGGGTCCCACATGGCGCGCAGACCTCTCCTGCCGCCTGCTGCTCCCCTCAGCAGTGTACTTCGGTCCTTCTGCCTGCTCTGCTCTCCGCTCTGGCTCTGGTGAATGCTCTCACCCCACCACCCCCCCCCCCGCCCCGCATCTAACTGTACCCAGTGCTTATATAAATAAATAAATAAATAAATAAATCTTTAAAAAAAAAAAAAAAAAAAAAAGAATACACTGGCTCAAAACTGAATCCCAAATCCCTGAGAGAAAAATGACAGCAAAAGTGGCAGAGGCAAGGATAAAGGTAGGAAATATGAACAACTGCCTGTCTGTCTTCTTTGACCTTCTTGTCCTATCTAAAGAAGGTACCTATGGGGCTTATGTGACTGGCTGGCCAGGTTCTGTAACATTTTTCAGTTGCACTTGAGGTAAAGTAACTACTAATTCAAAAAAACAATGTAGTGCTTTGAAAGAATTATGTTCTTTGTATTGTGTAGGCAGATTTCTTTACTAATAATATTAGAAAAAGATAAAGGTTTTTCAGTTCCAATGCAATCTATCGATATTCCTAATAACTCTAGAACATTCTAGATCAGTGGTAAGGGGAAACCTTAAAAGAAACAAGATTCCTAACATAGCCACTGGAAAACTGTTTTGAAAGAAAATGACAAAAATAAAGATGTAGCTTCAACGGTGACCTCTAAAAGGTAATTATCAATTTCTGATCATAATGGTCTTTCATTAAGTTTTTAGTCCAAGGAGGTTTCTTCAAGTGCACTTTTCTTCAGGAGCCATGCTAATCTCTCCCAGTGTTGCTATACTAGTATGGACCTATGCGCTAATCCTTCACATCCACTGACAAGAAACACTGACTCATTATCATCAAGTCCTTTACCAGACAATGTCAGACTGATTTTCTCCAGATGGTTTTCTCATTAGGTATTTGTATATCTAAAGGAAAGGGAAGTATTTTCAGGATGTTGTAGAATATAAGCCTTCCAAAATAGACAAATCAATAGGACTTTCTCGTCTCTGATGACCTTCTCATATAATACATTTCTGAAAAATAGGCATTATGCCATATTAAGTGGTACTTCATCATATTGTTCACTTTTGTGAGGACAGAATGTGTATGTAATGCCAGTAAGTCACATTCTAAATATAGTACACTCAGTAGTTCTGTCTGGATCCTGATGATTACAGTTCCCTTTTATCTACATATTTCATCATGGAATGCTCAAAATATTGGTAGCTATAGAGTTGTCATTACAATTAACACCAGAATGCATAATAAAACATTTTGCAGTTATTCATAAGCAAATCCCAGGATCTAGAATGGCAACAGAATTAAAGATAAAGACTTACAGTGACTGCAGTTGTTGCCACTTGATAAAGTTTAAAATTAGAGGATCTGAGTTCAACTGCTTACAAGCCCAACTGCAGTGTTGTCTTTCCCACTGCCTAAGTCTTGGTTTTTGCATCTATAAAGTAGAAATGACAACTGTCCCAACTACTTAACAAAGTGTGAGATTCAGATGAATTAAGATACATGCAAGCATTTAATAAACTGTAATGCATTTCATAAATGTTTAAAAGGTCTTGAATTAACTATCTTCTTTGCATCTTAGCATGTGAAGGTGACAAAAGGGCAATCCTTGCCTTTATTTATAATTTCATACTTTAACAAAAATATCCTCAAGTTATCTCCTCCAGCATGAATTACATAATACAGGTAATTAGCCATGCTAATAATGCAAAAATTTTTGCTTGAAGCATGGAACAATCTTGGGAAAATAAAAATGCCTTAACTATAATTATTATACTATATAACACATTCACATAATAAAAAAATGAAAAAAGAAACTTTTAAGGCACTTTGTGGAATTCAAAGTCTGTTTTTGAAATAGATGACTGGATCAAGATGTGGCATATATACACAATGGAATATTATTCAGCAATCAAAAAAGATAAAGTTATGCCATTCGCAGCAACATGGATGGAACTAGAAGGAATTATGCTCAGTGAAATAAGCCAGAAGGAAAAAGAAAAATATCAGATGGTTTCACTTATAGCAGGAATATAGGGAAACCAAATAAGACATCAGTGTAAAACAGAGACATACTGCAGAGGAAGAGGAGGGAGAGGGATCAGAGGGAGGGAGGAACACAAGGGGACTGAGGTGATGGTACATGGGTCCACTGGTGAAGGAAACTCTATGGGGACTACACCTGAAGGGGTGGGAGGAAGCATATATTGTTTAATAATGAACAATGATGTAAAAAATAAATATTAAAAAATGAATTATGTTCATAAATCTGTCATAATTATTATCACTAATAATACTTAAAATACAAATTTAGATTTCATATAAAAAAACAAAGTCTATTTTTGAAAATCCAAATGAATACACAAGTTTTAGGAGTATTCCCAAATACTTCTGTGACCTTATAATGGAAATTAGTTCCATTATTAGAACACAACCAACTTAGAAGGAAGCAGAAGATAGAGGTCATTAAATGGTACACTTAAGATCTATGCATATCTGAATGGCCAACAGGCATATGAAAAAATGTTCAGCATCACTTGCAATCAGGGAAATGCAAATCAAAACTACAATGAGATACCATCTTACACCAGTGAGAATGGCACATATTAAAAAAAACTAGCAACAACAAATGTTGGCAAAGATGTGGAGAAAAAGGAACTCTACCGCACTGCTGGTGGGAATGTAAACTGGTCCAACCACTATGGAGAGCTGTGTGGAGATTCCTCAGTCTACTAAAGATGGAGCTTCCATATGATCCAGCAATTCCACTCCTAGGTATTTACCCAAAGGACACAGAATCATTAATTCAAAAGGGCACCTGCACCCCTATGTTTATAGCAGCACTATTTACAATAGCTAAGCTTTGGAAACAACCCAAATGCCCAAAAATAGATGACTGGATCAAGAAGATGTGGTACATATACACCATGGAATATTACTCAGCATTCAAAAAAGATAAACACATGCAATTTGCAGCAACATGGATGGCGCTGGAAGGGATCATGCTCAGCGAAATAAGCCAGAAAGAAAAAGAAAAATACTAGATGGTCTCACTCATAACAGGAATTTAGAAA